GAAAAGGGTAAATTTAGGTTAGACATTTGGAAAAAGATCTTTACTATGAGGGTGGTTGATCACTGGAACAGGTCACTCACAGAGGAGGTGGAGGCCCCATCCCTGGAGACATTCAAGGTCAGGCTTGATAGGGTCCTGAACAACCTGACTTGGCTGGGTAGAGATGTCCCCGCTTATTGTACTGGGGGCAGAGGTCCCTTCCAACCCAACACATTCTGTGATTCCATGACCCAACCCTCAGCCTGCTCCACCACAGCTCACCTGTGAGAAGCCCCCCAGGATGATGCGGTTGGGGGGGATCCCATTCTTCATCTCATGCTCAATAATTGCTTTAACTGGAAGAAGACAAGAGAAATGGGTCAGCAGAAGGGGGAGGGGGCCGAGGAGCAGCACCTGAGTTTGGGGGTTGCACACAGGACCCTCAGCATGCCAGGGGAAGGCAGGTGCCAGAGATCCCACGGACTGATCCCACTTGGCTTCAGCCAGGGAGATGGTGGGCTGGGACCACAGGAGAGCAGAGAGGAAGCAGCAGTGGAAGGAAGACATCCATGCCCATGAGCTCAGTGCTTTCCCTCCCTGAAGCCTCTTACTGTTTTCTGCAGCTTTCTTGATTCCAGCTTCATCCTCAGGTGCATCTGGGGTCAATCCCATCAGGTCAAACCTGGGAGGAGAAGCAGGGTCAGCCCCAAACCTCTCCCAGCACCCAGGGTGTGCTCTGCCCTTCCCCTGACTTCCACAGGGCAGTGGATTTTGGCTCTTCAGTCCACAACCCACCCTCACTCCCTAAAATCCACCCCCAAAAGAGTCCCACCCAGCCCCAGCAGCCCCAGCACTGACCAGGAGGGCATGACCATCTTCATGTTGAGGGTCACCGGGATCCGCGGCCTGGGGAGAAAAGTTTGGGTGTTGTAGTTTGAGCTGAGGGGAGTGGGGCGACCATCCCTCCTGCCTGCAGCAGCGAGTGCCAAAGGACAAGCAGCAGCACGGTGCCACCAGGGGCACCTGGGGGATGTGGGGTGACCCCAGGGACCACTCGTGAGCCCCGGGCAGGTCCTGGCTGAGCTGGCAGAGAGGAGGGAGGAGACACGGGCAGCTGAAGCAGGAGATGCTGCTGGAGCAGCTGACCCCACCACCCTGGAGGAACCCCAGGCCACCAGCTGCATCCCCAAAACCTCAACAGCGGGCACCCAGAGCCCCCCCTGAGACCTCCCCAGGGCCCCTTCCCCCAGCAAGGGGTGGCACTTACGCGTGAGGGCAAATGTACTTCACGTAGGGGAGGCGGATGGAGGAGAGAGCATCAGCCCAGCTGTGCCTGGGGAGAGAGCAGGGCAGAGCAGGAGCTGAAGGCTTGCCTCAGCATTTTGGAGAACGCTGGCCGAGGTGAGGACTTCCCCCAAGATAGGTTTCCTCTGAGGCTGCCCCTGTGCCCTGGTGGCATTTCACCAGGTCCTGCCCACCCTGGCAGCCTGATCACCACCGTGATCTCTGCAGCAGCACACAAAGCCCTGCAGCTGGGGCTGGGGGGAACCTCCCGTGTGGGGAGAAGCCTTTTTGTCCCTCCTGTATCTCACACTGTCCTCTGAGGCAGCCTTGCACGCCAGGGAGATGCCCTGGCACAGGCACAGCCCCCCTCCCGTGGCCGCAACAGCCGCAGTGCTTATCTGCCTGCCTGGAAGAAAGCAGCACACCAAACCCGCAGGGGGCTGCCAGGATCATAAATATTCAAGTGCAGGCAGCTGCTGGCCGGTGAGGGCGGTGCAGGAAGAGCCACCAGAGTGAGCTCAAGGCCCCAGACACACCTCGGGGCTGCCCCAGGGGCGAGCAGAGCCCGCAGCAGGGGGGGCAGACCCAGACCCAGGCTCAGCCAGAGCCAGCCCCAGGAACACTCACCCCGTGTCTCCAAGGCCATGTAAAAAAATGACCTGTTAAATTAAGCAGAAAAACAAAAGGATTAGTCGGTGGGCCCTGGGAGAGAGGCAGGGACGTGGCAAAAGGCCACTGAGTCACTGACTAGAAGACTCAATCGGGCAGAAATTGGGTGAAGCTAATGACACATCTCTGCGGCTTTGGGCACGACGGATGGGTGGAACAGGCACGACAGAGCTGGCTCCACAGCCAGGCCCGGGGGCGTTGCTGGCACCTCGGGTGGCAGAGGGTTGTCCCACCTGGCTCCGTGGCACCACACTGAGCAGAGTCTGCCCTGGCCAAGCACTCCCCAGACCCCTCCCCACAGGCCACCCGAGCAGCCCCTAAGCAACAGGGAGCAGAGGGAAGGCACCCGCCGGGCCCTGGGGAAGCACAGAGGATTTTCTTCAAGGGATTTGCTTTAAATGCCCGAATCAGATCCAATTCCCTGCCCTCCCTGAGCTCAGGCCCAGCTGTGAGGCTGCACACGTGCTTCCAGAAACAAACAGCCCAGCCCAAGGGCCAGTCACCCTTCCCCAGCACGACCAGACTCCGCTGGTCCTGCACCCCTCTGGGGCACCGAGATGCCCATCTGACCAGCTGAGGGATCTCAGCTCGTGGCCCTCTGAGCCCCAGGGAAGCTGCTGCTCATCTCCAGGGCTGAGCTGTGTGAAGGGCAGCAGCAGGAGGCAGGAGGGGCCCGGCCCTTACCGCGGCAGTCTCCCGCTCTGCCCCTGAGACCGTCACTGCGTCGGCGAGGAGGGGGACAGACATGTTGTTACCACACATACACCGAGAGGGACTCAGACACTGGCACCTGCGGGGCAGAGGGACAAAGGTGAGGCAGGAAACACCCCCCTCTCCTCCCCTGGCGACCGTTTGCTCCAAGGCACCAGCTGTTTAGGGGAAAATTAAAGAGCAGGCGAAGGGTTTGATGTTTTGATGTCTCCTCCCTCGGGCCAGCCCGGTTCCATCCCTGGGCTGGGAGCTCCAGGAGGCAGCAAACACTTCCCGCGTGTGTCCCAGCAGGGATGCGAGCGTCAGGCCTCAGAAGTGTTAAAATTAGCTTTTTCTGTTCCACCTGGCAGCCAGAGTTATTTCTGTGCCCATGGAGGTGGGCAGAGGGCGGCCGGGCGCCTCCGCAGCCCTCCCCGGAGCCTGACCCACATCTGCCCCTGCCGGGAAGCAGGAAGCACCAGCCAGGGCTGCAGCACGCCAGTAAAAGCTCCAGCCCTCTTTTATGGAGCTGTTTGGGGATAAACCAGAGCGTCCTGGTGCTGGCATGAGACCCAGCCCCG